GAGGGAAATTCCGCGGGACTTTGGTGATGGGCGCCCACCACCCCGGCCATTGCGATCTGAACAGCACCCGCTGGGGCTACCTGAGTTGACAGGTTCTCAGCAGCAACGGGTGGAGCAGGATAATGCGGCTGCTAGTTTTGTACTGTCTGAGATCGACCAGTTGGTGGACAGGGGTGGTGGATCAGTCCGCGAGAACCCATACAACAGCCTCCATTGGTGGACACCGGATGAGGTGGCAATGTGGGAGAGTGGTCGCTGGTCAGACCAGCGGTATTCAGCCTGCTGTTTTGGGGGCGCAAGATCAAAGCTGCAGCGTTTGCGCCACAACATTGCAGAGATCGCTCAATGGCCGCGAGCTGACTGCAACCATTTCCATGACCCCCAGGAATGGGAACCTTGGGTCCAGAATGGCAAGCGCCATTTTCCTTCAGCTGAGGAGTCCGAGTATACAGCAGAGCTCTGCTTTGCGATTGCCACGGCAGCTTCGTGGTGGGCAGTGCGTGTTGGACACGCCAAGCTCTATGTGCCGAGGTCCCCATCGCCGAGTTGCACTGGGCATCGAGACCATTGGCTTGACCTCGATCCTAGAGCACTGCGTGAGTGGGCTATGACCCCACTGGCCATCAGCCTGGGCCTGCGGCCTTTGGACACAGCTGAAGCGGCTAGGGTGCCCACGAGAGCATGTGTTGACGATGTCTTGCAACAGGGCGCCTTGCCTCCCGGTCATGTGTATGTGGGGCTCGGAAATCATAACCACCGCCTACCTACCACCAAGTGGAAGTCTCCATGGCAGGTGGGAGTGAATTGCACCCCCCAGGACTGGGTTCCCTACTACGTCCAGTACATCAGGGAGACACTCTGGTGCGAGCTGGATGAGCTCGAGGGGGCAGTGCTCGTCTGTGATTGCCCTGCAACCCAAACTTGTGAGGCCGACCTCCTTGCCGGGTTGATTTTTGATAGATTGAGCGAGCAGGGCCAGCGGAGTGCCCCCCAGGTGGTCCAAGGGCTTTCTGGCAGGAGTCCACAGGGAGTTACCCGGTGTGTCCTCTTGTCCAGTGTAGCGCGGGCTACAGGTATCCCCTTTGGGCCATTTTATATTCTGCAGGAGTCCTTGGCGTTAGCGTTCAAGAGGTTGTACCCAGGCGAGTGGTTCGAGGGAGTCGCCATCCCCTTTGTGGAGGACTTAGTGAATCAGTACCCACTTGACCTATTTGTGCGATGGCGCCACCAACAAGGTCTGTACATGGAGGGCAGCTGTAACCCAGTGTTGGCAGCCCCCTCAGTGCGGCAGAAGATGAGGACTGCAGAAGGGCAACAGGTGGGAGCGATCAACCACAGGGCGGCGTTGGCCCCCCTTCTGCCTTTTCACCTTCAGCCCGATCAGCATTTCGAGCAAGCCCTTCAGCTCAGCCTGCAACAGTTGCCTACTGAAGGACTTCCCATTTTGGATGAGGATCTGAGGTTTGCTGCATCTTTCTCCAGTCTGCCAGGAGTTGACCTGCGCAGGTTGCGAGAGCGCGCCATGGGAATCCTGTCTGAGATGAAGCGACGGTGGAGCTCGATTACAGCCCATTTGCGCCGCAAACAGACTGAGGCCATCAGAACGGCAACAATGCAACGTGACATCGGCTTCACTGCAATCCTTCTTCTGGTAGCCAATTGGGGGGACGTGACACTGCCAGCAGGCCTGTGTATGGGGCTTCCTGCAGTGGGTTACGCGCCTCCATATGGCATTTTTCCGGAACAAGTTGCCACACGTTTGACGAGAGAAGAGGTACTCCATGACTGGCAGAGCCACAACAACACCATTTTGGCTCGGCTCAAGCCAGGTGCCGACGATGAATTTTTGTTGCAACAAAGCCTGAAAGATGCTGAGAAAGGGTTTTGTGGGTTGCCCATGACTGCAGAGGAACTGCAGCGTTGTCTGGGTGCGGAACCCTACCGATTGATCCCGCGATGTGTCATCACACAGTCCTCGGGGAAGCAACGAGTGATTGATGATGCTTACGTTGGTTTGCAGTCTGAGCGTTCCAGTGATGCAAACAAGCTCACCCTTTGCTCAGCGTTGCGGCCAGCCCAACACCTGCAGTATGCCTACGCCTTTGGGAGGTCACCCCACTGGGAGGCTGAAGAATGGGAGTCTGGCGGTGAGGATTGGCCAGACGCTTATCGGTTTTGCCCTATGAGTTGGGATGAGGCCTTATGCTGCATTGTGGCTTTCTTCCATCATGAATGGCAACAACCGGCGTTCATGATTTATACAGGTCTGCTCTTTGGTCTTCCTCTCGCAGTCACATCGTTCAATCGATACAGTCGCTTTGTGGAAGCACTATCACGTCGATTTGCCTTTTGTTTGACCAGCTTGTATTTCGATGATGCTCACCTGACAGACCGCAAATCGTGCCGGGGATCAGGTCAGAGAGCTTTGCAGACTCTCAACACCCTTTTGGGCACACCATTTTCAGAGGAGAAATGTCAGAAGATGCAGAGTACCGGCACCTTTTTAGGCCTGGATCATGATTTCAGTCAAGTCTATTTGAAAGGTATGGTCCAATTTTGGGCCCGTGACCGCATCGAGACCAAGCTGCTTCATCTCATGCAGACTGCCGAGGAATCCGGCAAGCTGCAACCAGGGGTGGCGGCCAAGCTCTACGGTATTGCCAACTTCTTTGAGCTTGGCGTGTGGGGGCGTATTGGCTGCGGTGGCTTGGCTCCCATCAAGCACAGACAGCAGGAGCGCTCTTCAGAGTTAACTGAAGAGTTGCGCCAGAGTTTTGACCTGCTTCGCACTGTCATCACCACCCAGCCCTCTCGCCACATCGAGATCTGGCCACATGCGGGGCTCCGCTTCCTTGCGGCTTCGGATGCTGCGTTGGAGAGCCCAGGTCAGGGGACAGGAGGCTTTTTGGTGGTGTGGCATGACAGTCACAGGCAACATCGGGAAGCTTTTGTTTCTCTCATCCCCCCATTGGTGTACAGCCTCTGGGAGCCTGGTGACAAGAAGATTGCCCAGTTAGAGTTGCTGCAAGTGCTCTACGCTTTGTTTTCTAGGCCGTCCAGATTTCGAGGCAGACGAGGGCTTTGGTTCATCGACAACACAGCAGCGTTGATGGCATTGATCCGAGGTCGTTCTGACAATGCAGATTTAGAGCATATGTCACGGTTGATTCATATCACTCTTTTTGGTCTTAAGGCTTGGTTTTTCTGGGAGTGGATCCCTAGCAAGGCCAACTGGTCTGATGAGATCAGCCGTGAAGGCCTCCAGGCGACATGGCACAAACGCCATGGGTTCACCACGCATTTTGCATTTTTCCCCTTCGAGATTTGGTCTCTACCACTTCCCGCGTTTCTCCGGGTTGTGGAGTTTCTCTGAGTGCTTTGGGATGAAGTGCATTGGGAGAGATTCAACCTGTGTAGCCTCCTGAGTTTACAGGAGTGCGGAACAGGGTGTACGGATCCAACCAGTGCTGCTGTGCAGGAGACTACCTGCACAGCGTTCCAAAGCACTATCCTGCGAGGAGCAGGTTGAGACCGCACGAAGAGTTTGGGAAGAAAAAGCCATGCGGATGTGAGCCTGGACAGTGTGAACCATTTTGAGTATCTATGCTTTACATCTCACAACTAATGTATGTATGCATCGTGTTTGGCAGGCACTGGGTGTGCATTATCATTAGGGTGAGTATGTAAGCTGATGAATCCATTTTGGCTCAAGTCTGAGCCAAACTGGCTTCATCGTTCTTTCTTTTCCCTCCCTTCCCTCCCTATGAGGTAGGACTCCGGTGGAGTATCCTCCCTTGTAGGGGATCACATCATTGAGGATGCTGATCTCTACGTGGAGTCCCACGACTGTAGCACTGGGCGGGAGAGATTCAACCTGTGTAGCCTCCTGAGTTTACAGGAGTGCGGAACAGGGTGTACGGGTCCAACCAGTGCTGCTGTGCAGGAGACTACCTGCACAGCGTTCCAAAGCACTATCCTGCGAGGAGCAGGTTGAGACCGCACGAAGAGTTTGGGAAGAAAAAGCCATGCGGATGTGAGCCTGGACAGTGTGAACCATTTTGAGTATCTATGCTTTACATCTCACAACTAATGAATAACCATTAATAACCATTAATAACCTATTAATAACCATTAATAACCATTAATGACCAGTAATAACCATTAATAACCTATTAATAACCATTAATAACCTATTAATAACCATTAATAACCATTAATAACCATTAATAACCATTAATAACCAGTAATAACCAGTAATAACCATTAATAACCTATTAATAACCATTAATAACCTATTAATAACCATTAATAACCATTAATAACCATTAATAACCATTAATAACCAGTAATAACCAGTAATAACCATTAATAACCTATTAATAACCATTAATAACCTATTAATAACCATTAATAACCATTAATAACCATTAATAACCATTAATAACCAGTAATAACCAGTAATAACCATTAATAACCAGGTGGTAATAACCATTAATTAGTGAATATAATGATAACCATAACCATTAATAACCATTAATAACTAATTAATAACCATTAATGGATGGGTAACCGTGGAAAAAGGATGGGTTATTAGTGAAATGAACAAGGGACCACTCTGTGTTAGTCGATGTTTCGTATTAACATGCATAGAAAAACCATGTAAAATTCTGATTGGTGGTCCCCCAATGACTCTACCTAATGTGAGTAAAACAATAAACCATCCCTCGGTCATCATCATAAATATATAGGTGGTATGTTTACCATTCCCAGTCATGGGTGGTAAACATGGAATGTTTTCCCCACAATATTATTGTAAAAACCATTAACTATATAGCCACCAACAACCATTAACCATTGTATTCATAACCACCATGAACCATCAACCACCATGAATAACCATTAACCATCATTAACCATTAACCATCATTATCCATTAACCATCATTAACCATTAACCATTCACTAACCACCATGAAACATCCAACGTTGCTTTCCGTTAAGGTTCACCACCTTCACCGAAGCTGACCTGGCCCTGCGTCAGAAGGCCGCGCAAATGGACGCCCGGATCTCGCGACAACGCTACGCGGACGAGAACTACGGGGTGCACTCCTTAGAGGCGACCCGCCGGGGTTCTTCGGTGTGGAAAAGCCATGGGTTTTTCCCGGTCGAAATGGTGGGTTAATATCTGACTTAAGTCATTTTAAGTCCCACAGTTATTATTCCATTTTTATGGTACTTTACTTTTACTGACTTGCAACTGGTTATCAGGGCCATAACGGCTTCGCGGCTTCCCGGTTCAATCCCATCTTAGTAAAATAGCCCCAGATATGTGGATCTCTATGATACGATGGTTTCTTGGCAGTTGTTCATGTTAAATTATGTGGATCGCGGATGGGTTTATTTGAGATCATGAATTATTATAGCCCATAGTCGGGATAACTTACGGGATAACTATTGACCAGTTTGGATGGGATGGACAGATTCTGCTGCGACGCTACGACATCAACGAGTTCGACGTCACTCTGAATCACCCAGCTCTCGGACGCTCACCCATTCTGGGGCACGCTGGACCCGAACCCAACGGGGAGCTTGCTAGCTTTGGGGCACCGGAACCGAACTCTATGGCGAGCTTGACAGCCGGACCCGAACACGATGCTGGATGAATCTATGTCACACCAGTTTCAGATGAAATGTCAGATAGGATGCCAGCAGGACCATAAGTGCAGTTATAAAGGGAACGGACATTAAGTCACTATGAACAAATATAGTTGTATCCCAAGATCAGCGGAGCGGTGGTCAGTTGCACCTTAGATGATGCATTGGTTCATATTGGTTCCTGGTTTATTACCCATTAAGGTTTGCCTTCGAAAATGCAGAAACCAAATCTTGGAATTATTAAGTGAGATAATAATCCCCAATAATCATCACTCATGAATTGAAACCATAGCAATCCCCAATAATCATAACATAGTCATCCCCAATAATCCCCAATGATCCCCATAATCATCAATCATTCATCAGTCATTTCTTTGGGGGGTATAGATTGAAACCACCAACCAGACTAGCACCACTAGCACCATGTCCATGATGTTCCTGGCCAGAGCCAGCTGATGCTACTGGCAGGAGCTAAAAGATCCGACTTGTCTCCAAAAAATGGTTCAGCATCCAGGATTCGACAGTGTCTCGGCATTCGGGCGTGGAGTTTTTTTCTTTTTATTAAGGTAGTTGAAAATTCATGGATTGATGAGGTCCGAAAGCTTGGAGCTTTAAAGTTAGCATAGACTTAAATGATGCCTTCGATGGTGTCAGGGTCTGGGATGTTGATGCCTGATGAAAGGTATTGGACATGTGATGCACAGGTCGAAAAAGGATAATGTCAAGCAACATCAAACACTCTTCAACAATATCAAATTTATATCAAACTAATCGGTCTAAGCATATGGCAGAACAAACAAATCAACAGCAACGGCAGCTTATCGCGGATTTCAGCTCCCAGAGCAGCCTCAATGGTTTCCTTGGGAGCCATTCAAGCTGCAGAAGCTGCAGCTGCTGAATGAGGCCATTGTAGGGGCTGGATTTCACCAGGTGTTTCTCGATCGTTTCTCTGACACAACATCTGGGTGTGTCTGAAAATGGTTGGCATACTCCAAAATGGATCCAAATGATCATTTAAATGGTGAACAAACATGGTTTTGACATTGATTAACCCTTGGTTTCTTGGGTTCCCTGGCTTTTCGGACAAACAAAAGCCAACTAGAGTTGCTCCTCAGCTTCCCAAAATTTTGACCGAGAAAAGAATCGAGGTTTCTTCGCCATGGTTGTTATCCTCAACTGCTTCTTCATTGCTTTTGAAGTCCAGGCACCACCGGGTGAGAAGATGTAAACGCAACCAGCTCTCTGGTGCGAGTGATTCACATCATATTTTTCTGGATAGAAACTGATGGATGGTGTTATAGTTTTTCTATATATTTCTGGTTTTATATACCATAAGATGGTGTTTTCCCATGTCTTATGGATAGGTCCACTTTCATGGACAACAGTGCTTGGGTGTTCCGCTACTTCTGGCTTCAAATCGCTGTTCCCTATACCAAATGCAGAGAAACAACGGGCGTTCTTGGACAGATCGATGCAACATATTTGATAACATGTCCATGCGTTCCTGGCATTCCTATCCTATACGTCAATATAGATTGCCAAGCATCCAGTGGTCGTGTACCCTCAGCAATCTAGGCCCTGGAAAACAGATGCCTAGGCCAGCTTTTCAGACCTAGAATCTCAGGGACTATATGGCAGACTAAGTGTGGAGTGTGTTTATCGGCTTATCAAACTATAGCTATAGCTACTCTATAGTTGGTACTTCTACCTGCAATGATAGTTTTGGAGTTTCTTTGTCAGTTATTCAACCTTTCAAGATACAGCCACCATGCCCCATGCCCAGGGATAGTATGTTTTTATTTCCCGCAGCAATGAGGACAGTGTTTGGAGTGATGGGCAGACGTCGATCTTTTTGATGGTCACTCAGTGCCCTGGCGTATGGGCTGAGTTCGGGTAGTTTGAAGAGCAGTTTCTCATCATTGGGGCTGTGTCTCCTTGGCAAAAACAGGCACTTTTGGACGTTGGAGCATGGCTTATTTTATGTGTTTTCCCATCCATACATCCATCCAATTTCCATACATACATACATACATACATACATACATACATACATACATACATATACATACATACATACATACATACATACATACATACATACATACATACACATATATATATATATATGATTTACATATATAAATTATATATATGATTTACATATATATATATATTATTTACATATATATATATATATATTCTTTACATAATTATACAAGGTGAGGAAGCAGTAGCCATAAGGGCCCGTTGCTCAGGTCCCTCCAGCAATCAAGGTGATCTTGTTCTGTGATTTTGTTCTGTGATCATGCTTAGTTGCTTGGGGTTGGCAAACAATCTGTGTTAGCATCCATTCCAATATCTATATACATATGTTATGGTTATAAAAATAACATTTTATGATTTGCAGATATGGAGAGAGAGGGTAAAGGCTTGTGCTTCTCCGGAGAAGATATAGTTTCATTTTTTGGCTGGCTGATCAAGAGTTATTTTTTTCTATGCTTTACAGCGTTTTTTTCCTCACCATGTGAACCCAAGGTGCATTGCAATCATTTCTTTGTTCCGGACTCCAGCTGCGGGAATCTACTTTCACACTCCGTAGACCTTTGTCATATGAGCCAGAGAAGATCGAATAGTGCAGCATCAAGTACGTGTGCATGTGAACATGAAGGTTTGTTTACTCCACCCCACCGCATCCAAATCCCACCCCCCACCACGCCCCACCACACTCCCAAAGTACCCGAAAGGACACTTCGCAGAACCACACTATTTGAATATAGCTATTATAAATATATATTTTTGATGTGTTTTGATACATACACTATATGTATACTAAATGTATTTTTACACAATATAAAAAGTAGTTTTTGACAATGCTGCCGTGACAGATCCCGTCCGCGGCTTAAAGAGATATGTTCAGATCTCCACGGGTATGGCCAACAGCTACACATGGAATACTATAATTCCTTTAACGAAGGTTATACATCCTTATAACTTAATTTATAATCCCGTTCATAAGTATATAATCCCATTAATACATCATAATTATAGTCCCATTCTAAATCCCATCATTCTAATCCCATGATAACGAAGGTGAATTACATCAGTTCAACGATTTTTTTTTGAGGTATACCTTCAGCATCACCTTCACCATCGAGTTGGCCTTGCGGTTTGCCGCGTCGGGGTGTGCCTTGAACGCAGGAATGAGGTGGACTGAGGTGCTGAAATGGAACAAGGACAGGTGCTCTTTAAGGGTGAATGGGCCTAGGGGACTGTTACATATTGTTACCATTGTTTTCAGATGAGTGAATAGTGAATTCCCCTCTGGTTATGACTAACATAGCCATGGTATAGATGGCCCATAGAAATAGATGGTTTACCTATTAAAGATGGTGGATCTTTCCATGGCTATGTTAAATAACCAGATGGTATTGATTGAATTATTTCCAATTGTAATTCCTAATCAATTTCGTGGGTCACGGTGGATTGATAGTTTCATGTCGATGAATCGAGTCCCAAATCGATCATGATGATGATGATGATGGTGATGTTTGTTGTCATAGGTTCTTATTCCCACAATCGGGGACTCAAAATTTCATTTAACGTGCTGAAAGCTGGCCCGTCCAGTGGCTGAAAGGTTAGAATTTGTGCTTAGCAACTGGACCAGCGAACAACCATGAGGCATGAATCCTTTTCGGAAAAACATGTTTGTACAGACGTGCGTATCAATCAGAGTAGTTTTGGACAGGTGCTGTTTGAGACATGTTGTATTCATTCTCAATCTGATGGGCTCACAAGAACTGAGAAAACATCCATAGCTCTAGGACTAGGAAAGAAATGTAGAATTATCTGGTCCGGAACCCGCAAACATCTCCAAAACAAGCCCATTGAGATTGGTTGATCCAATTTCCAGCGGTTGAGAAGAGAATGAGAACTGTCATTCTTTGACCTCATTATACAGCATTGGTGTAAGTCAGAACTTCGTTTTTCTGGAGAGGAACATGATGAGTGGATAACGTTGAACATCACCATGGACCCGCACATCTGAGGGTTTGAAAGTGGGGCATTTATGCCACCAAAACTATAGTTAGGGGTTGCCAAAACACAGGTTTGAAGACCCATGATCCCCACTGTTTGGATTTATCAACACGTACAGTATATACATATATATATACACGTATAATATCGTATAATATCATATATGCATCATATTTGTGTTGTTGTTGCTGCTGTTGCTGCTGCTGGTGGTGGTGTTTTTGATATGTTCTATTAATGTTTGCTTGGTTTTGTATGGGAAAGCTGTAGCGATTGCTCAAAGCTGACGTCTGACCAAACCTCAGGGCGATTGCTCTGTGGCGACGAGTGGTCCTGGATCCTCCTGGATTTGGTGATTGTGGCGAGCGGGTTGACGGAAATGGGTGTGACCCTGGTGACCAGAATGGTCAATGATGGACACTCGTTCTCAACAAAGTTGGAGTTTTTCCCAGGGTTACCCTCTGGTCAGGTGGTGCACTTTGCCATGGACAATTACATCCCCCTTGGAATATCCTCTAGGAAATGGTGACCCTGGGCGGCGCCATTTCCTAGAGAGCTGAATTTTATGGATTGCCGCGGATTGCCCATCTTTGACGAAATGCATTCTTTAGAGGCGTATTGGTCGCTATTTGACCTGATCTGGTGGAAGTGCGGGGTTCCATTTTCTAGATTTCGGGGTTATCATCTGGGATCACCTCTAAATTTACAATGTCCCATTCTTTAGACACCAGTTGTGTGTTTCCCAAAAAAAAACAAAGTTCCATTTTTTAGAGCTCACTGGTTCAATGACATCAAGGGGTATGCCCTGGGGACCTCCATTTTTTAGAGCTCACTGGTTCAATGACAAGGGGTATGCGCTGGGGCCCTCCATTTTATAGAAAAAACGTGCGGAAACACTGACATATTATAAACATATAATATCATATGTAATATCAAATAAAAATTTATATAAAATATGTACAAAAATGAACATCTAATTATGTTGTATTTATTATGTTTTTTGTCATTATTTCAGATTTTCCCAAACTTTTCTGTGCCACTGGCTCAAAGATGTTCAAAGGTGTTGAAAGGTGCTTTAGATTCTAAGAAATTCTAAGAACATATATTTCACGAGGCAAAGATTGTCTCAAACCTAGGCAGGGGATAAAAAGGCCCATACAAATCACATCAAATCACTATATACTATAGAATGGAACCCATAGGCACTGGTTGGTGTTGTTGAACAGACCATAACGGACCCAAAAACATCCAAAAACTCTAAAGAATGGAACTTTGAACGTTTTCAAGGTCGATCAAGAATATCCAGACAACTACTAAAGAATGCTATCCCCAGATACTGCAAAACAAACAAAATGTTCACATAATTTTACAACAACTCTGTCCACCATTTCCTAGAGGAAAAAAAAGGGGAAAAAATCAAATGAAGCATTTTTCAAGCCAATCACCTGGTCCTCCATTTTATAGACATGCCTCTGTTTGTAGGACCCTCGGGGTTCCATTCTATAGAGATTGGGGTTCCATTCTATAGAGATTTGTTATGATATGTTACTCTGGCCCATGAATTCTTTAGAGCTTGGGGCTCCATTCTTTAGATGTTCCACTTCTAGCCCCCCCCCTGTCCACTATAGAATGGCGCCACCCACCCTTTTTACTTAATTCACACGGGGATACAATTACCAATTTTAGATGGTTAGTTTGCCATGGCCATGGCCATTTTTCATTGCTATGTCAGATTATCAGAGGGTACAGGGCCTCATGAATGGTGCTAAACATGGATACTCTTGTAAAAACGTGCGTTTTTGTACTTTTTGAAGACCATGAAGTGGATGACTCTTTCTTTTTTTCTTTGCATGGTCAAGTCATGTTCATCCAGCGACTTGAAAAAAAGTCCCCTTTCGAGCCCTAGGAGGTGGCAGTGTCCAAGTGAACCTTCAAGGCTTCAAAGCCTTTCGTATCATTCGTGCTCCATGACCTGCAGATATCGGGGGCAGCTGGTTTGGGAATGACCAAAAAAAACAGGTAAAGTCAGGTCTTCGGGAACAAACAGCTGGATTTTTCTACATGAACATTTTAGGAAACATAGAGTTATGGCCATTTACCAGTTAGAAGTACTTAGAAAACCCCATTTATAGAATGTATAATCCCATTTATAACAAGTTATAACTACATACCATCTGGTTATGACTAACATAGCCATGGAAAGATCCACCATGCTATTAATAGGTAAACCATCTATTTCTATGGGCCATCTATACCATGGCTATGTTAGTCATAACCAGAGGGTATGAAACAAAAAAATCCACTGTTTGTTATAGTTGTCATCATGTTTTCTGCCAAAATCGCTGAAGGTCCCCAAAAAAAGTCTGACAGGCCGGTGTTTTTGCACGTGGTACACCGGGTTTTCCAAGCCATAGTATTTTTTTGTTGGCATCTGGTCCCTGAGTGGGACAAACCGGACAAACGATTTTTCCAGGACCGTGATGAGGAAGCCTAGGCCATGTGAACATCCAAATCGCTGGATCCAAATGGTCAGGTTGGTCCGGTTTCTTATTGTTACCACATTAGATACTCTTTAGGTTCTTCACCTGGCCGCGGTTCTTCCATGGGATCTTTGATTCGCAATGGCCAATTCACCCGCAAGATGAATGTTTGGAGAGTTGCACTCGCATTTATAGCCCAAAGACATCCATCAATGGTATTTTTTACATCTTTTTACCTAGTTAACTAGCTAAAAAACTTGAACTTACCACGGCAATCGCCCAAATGTAGGTCTGAGTCCAGTCTAAGTACAGCATGAATCGTTTGGCAACTAAATATATGACTGAGCATGACGATTCTTTACAGACCGACCATACTAACCTGCAAAAAATGTCTCGGAAGAAATTGTGTCAGATATCTCGACTGACGGGTGGTTTACAACTCTGAATCCTTTGTGGGAATCCCAATAAACCGCTTTACTAACCAACCATGACGGGGGTTTCCAATTTACATCATCCCAAAACATGACGGGGTATACCGGTATACCCCAAAGTTCATAAGCCTCTGCGGGGATGGTTTCGTTGGGTTTGCCATATGAAGCCCTGCAGAGCCAGGTCACTCGGATCTTGAAAACCTTGCGTTTGGTACGGGTCTTTCGCTTCATCATGGCCTTGCGAACTCTTGCGCCCTGGTCAATGGATACAGCCCATGGTCATGGGAATCTGTTTATCCGTGTGCAGTTGGAGGATTGAAACATACCGTACCTCGTTTGTCTATTCCCAGTCATGTGTAGTAGGGGGCACGGCATTTGCACTTCCATTTTGGGACTGGTCTTGTTGGCATGTTTTGCAGTCAGGTCACTTCAATTGTCTACACCTTGAAGTCCCTGTTCTGGGCGATGGCGCTGCTAATGCTCATCATCTTTGTGTTTTCGGTATTGTCTCTTGGAGCTGCACTGCCACGATATGCTTTTGTGCTTTTCAGTCACTTCAATCCAGTCAGGTGGAAATGGGTCACAGTTCAACCCCCCCCGCCTTGTGTTTTTGGCAGACACATCGCAAGTGGAAATGCATCAAGTTCAGTCTTGACCCACATTTAGCACACTATCATATAGAGGTCCCCTCAAAAGATGCCAAAATATGTTTCCAGGAAGCTACATAGATGATGTTTTCACATGGTTTTCCGCATGATTTCCCATGTTTTGCAATGGTTTTCTCCGATCTCTTCACAAGAACAACATGTTTTCAACCGCTTTCCATCACTGAGCCCGCTGAGGTTAGTGGAAGCCGTTAGTGATCACTGGGGTTCCCTGGACAATCCCAACATGCCGCCGGAAGATGCTGAGAACATCCAGGTGCGCAGCGAGATGCGTTTACGCCGTTGGTGGATGATTGAATGGGATTTTAATATCCAATATATTGATATATATTGGGGATACATATATATATATATACATATATTTACATATATATATATATCATATACAACTATATACATATACAACTATATATATAATATATACATACATGTGTATATATAACTATAATATATATATATATAACTATATGTTTAATTATATACACACTTATATTTTAATTTGTATATATAGTTATATATCTCATTGTATATACATATATAATTATATATATATATCAAAACCACTATCCAATCATTATTGGGGACTCCCGTAACTCACAACCCATGAAAGGGAATCCTGTTCTTAACGGGGCAGTATTTTTTGTGGGGACGACGGCCAGCGGGTTTAGGTCACAGTGCTTCTGGTTGGTGGTTTGGAACATTTTTTATTTTCCATAACATATGGGATAATCCTTCCCACTCGCTAATATTTTTCAAGATGGTCAAAACCACCAACCAGGCTTAATTGATGTGATTATGGAACATGTATGAAAATGTAAAAATGTCAGAAAGATCTGGAGTTTGTTCATTGAAACGAATATGAACATATTGTGTCACTCGGTTTTCCCGGTGCACTTGAATTTCCTTCAGAGTCCGTTTTTCTTGAATTCAATTTTTTTGACATGATTTCTGATGGTAGGGTGATGGATTTGTCCTGGGACCGGGTGAGGCCTATTTTGCTTCACTTCCACACGCGATGCTCAGCTTGTTTATGAGTATTTCAGGCGTGGCCCACTGCGGAATTCTGTAACATGACATCAACTGACTCTTTACCGGATTTAAACCAACATGGAAACCGTTTCCACATGCTTGGATGAAGCAGCCGGATTTTCCATTCGACATGTCGGTTGTGCTTCAAAGCTCTCAATAGCAGGTGGAGTTAGCTGGGAGGAGGTCATCAGTCCATTGGGCAAGATCTCCAATGGGTGGGTGGTCGTCTATTTGTTCTACGTGTTCCTGCCTCGCTTCCGTGGCTTCTTTTTTCTGCTTTTCATGGCCAATGCTGGGGGCACGCCTGCTGAAGTCCAAAGTCCTCAAGAAGTTGGTTCCTCTATCCCCATCAAGTGTGTTGGTGATTTGGTGGCCAACCGCATTGCACCTACAAGCTTTTGATGCCTCTGCATTTGAGATGCGTAGGTGACAGATAAACTTACTTTGCATCCATCGGATGACGCTTCATGCATTTTCGTGTTTGGTTGCTCAATTGTGGAGGTTTCCTACAATGGCGGTACCCCTAAATCATCAATTTTTCCCCACCTGCCAGGTGAGGGTCTCTAGATTTTATCAGAGTTGCTTTCTCCTTTTCCTTCTCCTCCTCCTCCTTCTCCTCCGCCTCCTTCTCCTCTTTCTCCTCCTTCTCTTTCTTCTCCTTCTCGTCGTCCTCCTTCTCCTCCTCCTTCCTCAACGGCGAGCCCCAGATCTCAGTGCGCACTGCCGGACCTCAACCGCGATTGAGGTCCGGCAGTGCCCATGTCAAGAGAATGTCAGAATAAATGCCAGATAGAATGCCAGACAGAATGCCAGAATGAATGCCAGAATAGATGCCAGAATAGATGCCAGGAACAATGCCAGAATGAATGCCAGATAGAATGGCACAATAGAAAGTCAGAATAGATGCCAGATAGAATATCAGAAGGAATGCCAGATAGAATGCCAGAGAACATGTCAGAATAGATGCCAGAAAGGACGCCAGATAGGATGTCAGAATAGATGTCAAATATAATGCCAGAATCGAATGTCAGAAAAGAATGTCAGATATAATGCCAGAAAAGAATGTCAGAAAATATTTGCCATATTAGAAATTACTGTATGACAAAATAATGTCACGGTGAGGAGTGAGGATCACTCGAATTCAAGTAATTTATGTGTTTTCCATTAAAAGCAATCATGCTATTGGATCTATTGGGGATCCCCCCATTTCTGATAATCCCCACCTCAGGCTTGGAGCACTTTTGGAAGTTGAGATCTCTAAAAAGTGCACGCGGATGTGGCGCGAAGCACGTTTTGAAGTAAACATGCTAAAAGCACACCACTTCCGGACCACTTTTGGACGTTGAACTGTCGTATTGTGTGGCAAGGGCCAGGGATTCTGCACCTCGCGAAAAGTGAAGAAGACGTGAGGGTTTTGTCGCATTTGCAAAAACGTTGGCACGCGTGGAACGTTTGAAGAGGATCTGCAATGATGCATTTTCGCGTGGCAGGCGCAGTACAAGAGACATCTCCATCAGACGATGCTAGGACGTCAGAGCTGTGATTTCCTGAGGGGGTATTGTTTTTTGGAGCATCAGATCTTCAGCTTTGCTAAGAAGATTTTGCGTGACAGGTGCGGCACTTTGTATGACCTCGCTTCATTTTTTCGGGTCAGGCGGAGTACTTCAGACCGATGGGGTGAAAAGATGGCAAAACATCGGTACAGGGCTGTCAGCTGAGCTGCACTCAACTGTCAATTGTTCAATTAAGTCTCGCAGAACTGCTTCGTTTTTGACGCTGTCAATTTCAAAAATTGAAGGGGTCTCGCAGAATTTCTTCGTTTTGGAGCTGTGAACTTTCTTTTTTTGAGGACGTCTCGCAGAATTGCTTCGCTTTGCACCTGTCAACCTCCCACTTTTGAAGGAAGTCTCGCATAATTGCTTCCGACAGATAGATCGATAATTATGCAGATAGACAGACAGACAGATAGAAAGATTCAGATAGATAGGTTCAGATAGATAGATTCAGGTAGATACAGATAGGTTCAGATAGATACAGATAGGTTCAGATAGAAAGAAAGATAGATGGACAGATTGATAGACAGACAGATCGATAAATGGACAGATAGACGGATAGACAGATAGACAGATAGACAGATAGAGAGGTAGACAGATAGATAGGTAGATAGATAGATAGATAGAGAGGCAACTGGTCAGACAGATGGATGGACGGATAGAGAGATAGATAAATAGATAGATAGATAGACAAATAGATAGATGGACAGGCAAATGTTCTGATAGAAAGAAAGGCAGGTATATTTGACGAGATTAGTAAACAAACGATTAGATAGATAGATAGATAGACAGACAGTTTGATAGATAGATAGACAGACAGACAGACAGATAGATAGATAGATAGAGATAGAGATAGATAGACAGATAGATAGATATATCGATAGATAGATAGATTAAATAGATTAAATAGATTAGATTTGATTAGGTTAGATTAGATTCGGTTAGATAGATAGATAGATAGATAGATAGATAGATGGATAGATAGATAGACAGACAGACAGATAGATAGATAGATAGATAGAGATAGAGATAGAGATAGACAGATAGATAGATAGATCGATAGATAGATAGATTAAATAGATTAGATTTGATTAGGTTAGATTAGATTCGGTTAGATAGATAGATAGATAGATAGATACATAGATAGATAGATAGATAGATAGATAGATAGAGAGATAGATAGATAGGATTTGATGAGATTAGATTAGATGAGATTAGATTAGATGAGATTAGATTAGATTAGGTTAGGTTAGATCGATTGAAAAATAGATAGACAGGTAGATAGATTCACAGAATTTGAATTATCGATGCATAGAATGACTGATTGGTTGATTGATTGAGTGTGTGATTAAACGTTTGTATAAAATAGGTAGGCAGGTAGATAAATAGGTTGGTGAGATAGGATCAGGTAAGAGAAGATCAGAATTCATAGATAGATCGATTGATAGATGGATAGATAGGCACATAGGTAGGTAGACAGACAGACAGGCAGATAGATAGCTAGATAGATGGATAGATAGATAGATAGATAGATAGATAGATAGGTAGACAGTTTGATAGGTAGATAGACAGATAGACAGATCGATAGATCGACAGATAGACAGAGAGACGGTTAGACAGATAGACGGATAGATAGCTAGACAGCAAGACAGACAGAAAGGTAGACAGATACACAGATAAGACAAACAGATAGACATATTGACAGATAGAGAGGTAGACAGATCAACAGATAGACAGGTAGACGGATAGATACATAGATAGACAGATAGATAGTTAGACAAACATGAGTAAACAATCAATTTCCCAGAGCCCTCAAACCACCAACCCAAGCCACCACACAGACTATGCTGAAGTCATTGATCCAGTCACCCATGCATTCGTTCAGCCCCAAAATCACAGTCAATCAACCAACCAGGCGATGGTGAGTTCAATGAAACGCTCGTGGCACTGAAATTTCCTATGCGTCATGTTTGCTGTAGCTGCCGATTGTTGTTTCCGAAACGTCCGTCCGGGCGCGGATGATCTAGAATTACGTTTTGCAGTTTGTTGGGAACCGGCAACATGTTTGAAGAACTTTTTTTTTTAATGTAGTTAATTCACAAAACAAATCGTCACAACAGGTGCTGTCTGTTTCGAAACTGAGGCATCGACGCAACATGTTTTATCCTCATTGTTGTCCTTGGTGCAGTTGATTGATTGGTGTAACATCGATTTTGGGGTGCTCACATTCGCAAAGTTGCTGCGATCGCCGGCCAGATTTCATTCACCTATTTTGCCGTACTCAACGTGGTCACAGGCACCGATCAATGCGGCTGGCATCTCTTGAAATTTAATTGTTTAAGGTTTGTTCAACGGCAACACATATTAATTAAGACAATATTGAACTACTTTTTGTTTGCCTATTTTCATCGCAAATCGAAACTGAAAGTGATTGTTTCCAATGCATGTCATCGGTTATCCGATCTAGGGCAAACAGTGCTGGCACGAAGTCCCGGTCAGAAAATCACCGCGTAAGTCATTGGGTGCCTTGTTGAAGAGACACTGGTCAAAAGAATTTGGTTGTTCTCATTTTTTAAATATATGTGTGGTTATTATGTTGATAAGATCTGTTGTTTACTCCTGGCATTGGCAACCCTAATCACATTGGTCAGAAACTCACTTTGTCAATGGGTGCATTGTTCAAACACATCGGCCAAAATGGTATGCCTGTTGTTGATTTGCGAATTCCCTTGGGCGAGCTCAACCACATCCAAACAAGGTCAAACTTGTTTCACGTTGTTTTTTCTGCAACCATGTTGGTTTAGATTAGTTTAGATCTGGTTTGGCAGCTGGGTGTGATGTTGTTTGACGAATGGCATTCATTTTCAGTCCCCCCAGTCAAATGTTTGTAACGATATTAATTGTGTAAACAAATCCCCGTTTGTCGGAGAGGTACCATCACTGGAGTGTGACTGGTCTGCATCCGTCGGAGTATGTGAAAACCAAGCCAAAGCGGTCGCTGTGGTCCCCATTCCTGCTCGCAGAACCACACTGCGCCGTGAGTTGCCTCAAGTTGTTCAATTGGATGTTGAGTTGCTTGGTTCATGTAGCATGGTTAGCCGGCGTGGCTTGCTCCCTCGAGAACATGCCCGCGTTGATTCTTGTTGTAAGACCCTTACTTTGCTTGCTTGCGCTCGCCTTCCTTTTGAAAGGTACATGCGTGCATGTAGGCAATTTGCTGTTGCTAAAGTTGCCTATGGTTGGATCGCTCGCGCTCCCCCGCTGACTTTGTCTAAAAAGTTGAGGAGTTTGGTGCGTGCTGGAAGTGGTCGCATTCGTGCTGCGTCGGTTTGGTTGCGTGCTGCCTGGCTTGGCGGGGGCATGCATCTTGATGTGTTTGCCACCCAACTTGTGGGGATTTTTTCTCTCTTGCAATGGTCTCGTGCCTTGACTTGGTCTACTTGTCGTGGCTCTCCTGCTCATGCCTTTGATTCTTGGTTGGCTTCGCATGGCTGGGACCGGACGGCTGAATGGAAGTGGACTCACTCTGATTCGGGCTGCCGTTTGGATTTTTCTTCTGCCGGTGACATTGGTCAGCGTCAGCATGTTGTTCGAGACGCTTGGCGTGCTTGGTGCTTGCGTCGTCACATGGCGTCCGAGCGACGGGATGCTCAGCTTGACTGCTTGTATCATGCTGCCGGATATTTTCGCCCGATTGACTGGCATGCTACTCGCAAGTTTGCCGCTTCCTGTGCGGAAGCTAGGACCTTGGCTTGTGGTGCCACTTTCTCTCCTGCTGCTCTTGGTGGTCTCATCGTCCTTCCACATGTGCATTTGGGATGGTTGCACTGAACTTGGCACGTTTGATCATATTGCATGGGAGTGTCCTCGTCGCCCTTGTAATACACCTAAACCTGCCGAGTTTTTGTTTTCTCGGTATGGTTGGGTCGTTACAAATCAAGTTTGTGACATTGATGCTGTGCATGGTTGGTTGGTTCATGTGCAAGAGGCGCTTTGGTCCCTTGTTCATCCATGACTTGTGCTTGTTTGTATCATGGTCCTAGTCACTTTCCGGTTTATTGGTCTTGCCCATTTGCACACTCTGTGGGGTTGCCTTGCCTTCGTGGGCTTCCCCTCTGAGTTTGGCTTGGTTTGTTTGGGTCTTTGCCCCCTTGGTTTCCTTTTTCCGGTGTTTTTCGCTGGGCTGTTTGCACCTTTGGTGTGGTCTGGGCGCCTTGACCTCCCGACGCCATGGAGTCGTTTGTTCCCGTTGGGCCTTTGCCCTCGGTGTTCATGGCGTGCTTTCGTGTTGGGCTGCTGCGGCTGCTGCTGTGGCTGCCCCCTCGCTCTGCGCTGTCTATTTTTTTGTGGGCAGTTCAGATCAAAGTTCACACACGTCTGACAACGGCGGAGGTGTGTTTTGCCAATCTGCCATCGACAGTGCGCAAAACGACCATGCGAACGTTGTTCAATCCATGTTGGCGAACAAAGAGGACACAGCTGCGGTGATGGGTTCCAGGGTGCCCCAATGATCCACCAGCGTTCAACTCAACGATGTTTTTTGTTGTTTTGCACACGATCCAATATCAATTGAACCAAATTTATTGTTTTTTAATGTTGTTTGCATATACTTGTATGCGGCGTTTGATTTTTTTCGCAGTGGTATAAATGTTAAGTGTTGTTTTCAAGCAGGAATGTGATGACAGTTATGCGAGCAAACAAGAGAAACACTTTTTTTACCCAATGCAACAATACTTTGAGGACGGGGAAGAGTGTAATTTTGCACCCACAATCACACAATTGGATTGAAACAACTTTCACTGTGGAATGGCTGAACATATCCAGAATAAAAACTGCGCATAGCTCCCGCAAATTGGCCCATACCACTAACGGTTGTTCTTATATGTTCCCATGTTGGTGCGGTTTCCACATCATTTTTGTTTGGTTAACGACTGGTTAACAACGAATTTACATCTCCAGGAAAGCAATGTAAACTAATGACAAGGAAAACACAATATTACATATTACATATGCGTATTATACACCGTTATTCTATACTGTTTCAAACACATGACAAATACATTATACATAATACGTAACAGCAAAGAAACCATGAATCACCGTATCTTCAAAGCCAGCCATTTTTGAACTTGTTGCCTCCGGCTTACTCCAGGCCCATGTGGAAAAGATCAAGGAACTTTTTAGTCGTCTTGGTGCGGATAAGACAGGTCTCATTACCTATGGCATGTTTGAGGACGCTTGGATCATTTATTTTTTTCTATGGGTTTGCCCTCAAAAAATAGCCTGAACTTTCTATATGCTTTGAAAATCGGGTTTAGGTTCAGAACATGTGGTTGAGTTGATAACCAAAACATATAGGGTTTTGACAATCGAACGTGAAAAAAATGCCAGTGAAGGATTAATCTTGGTTTGCCCTTGGCAGTTTGAATGGGACAATGACAACAAACCACTAGATTTTAGGGCACACGATGTTTGGACAAACCATGTCACTCATGAGGGCGGAGGATCGGATGGAGATGTGAAGCAGGAAAAACGTGAGTTCGACCAAAAAGACGGAGGTACAATACATTTGGGTATTTTTAACACAGGGCATATGTGATGCCGAAATCACCCTTAATAATGGGACATTTTAATTTGGCATGAAGAAAACAATTCCGGCAAATCACTCTCATGATAGGTAGGTTGCGAATTTGAGAAAAACATATCTTGCTTGAAAACTGCCTGCCAACTTTCATGGAACTCCTCCACGTTTTCTGGACTTACCATTTACTGAAGGAATCTGGAAAACATTGACATAAACGGCACAACCTTCAAGTAGAAAGCACCAAGTTGACCGAATCAACCGAGACCCTCCAAGTATATGAAATTGTTTTTCTTACAGCTGTGCAGTTTTATCTACCTAGTTGAATTGTGCCACTGAGGGTCTAGCCTCTTTCGATTTCAACGTGTGAAACAAACGACTGCGCCTGGCACCTCTGAAAATCGCCTGAGGAAGGGATCCAAAGTCCAGCCGTGATTGAATACTTCGAAACGCTGGGCTGCTGCATTCTAAACTGGGTGGGTTCGATGTTTGCCATGGTGAAAATGGGCAAAAGTATCCCGAAGATGCGAACTTCCTACACAGCCCGACATTTTGATACATGTTACACATATTGAAGCTCAAGAGCCAAGAGCGTGATCCTGTCCTTTCCAAAGCATAAAAAAAGACAATCTACAACATATAACACACACACACACATATATATATATATATATAAATGTATACATACAATGTGGGCCCCCCTCGTTAGCTGGCTAAGTTGGTTTATACCTCCAATATCTACTATCGTTTATGATACTTTTAACTTGTAACTTATAGCATCTTCTCACTGTAGCTAATTGGGGCACTTTGTATATATGATACACGTACACACATGTTGACATGAATTCATCTATCCATACCAAACATATCCGAAAATTACAAAAAATGACAAGGCTTGGGGGTTCACCTTGATGGTCGTCTTTTTTGGAGCCACATGCCCATGGTGTGATCTGTTTGGACTGGGCAAACATGCCGCTTTTTTTCCGTCGCTCTTAGGGAGGGAGACATCACACTGACCAACATCCCAACCCATATCTCACCTGTTATGTTTGTATGGGTCATTGGGCTTATGACATGCGCAGATACTGAAGTGGTAGTTTTGCAGATCTCAGAGCAAACTTTATTAGATATGTTTCTCCAGTTCTATTAGTCATTAGTCGTCTTCGCGAAAACTCCTGGATCTAATCCTAGCCCGATCTATGGAGTTATCTGAAAATGATGTGCTGGCTAAGCCAGATGGTCGAGAGAACCTTCAGGTCCAAAAGAAGTGTTGCACGAGTCCCCATTTCAGGCACATCCCAGTTCGAGTTTTGGTTCTGGACATGTTTTATTTTCCATATGGAAACTTTCTAATCCCGCCTGGCTCATATTTTTCAAAGCGGTTGTTTTTCCATATGGAAATAATAATCCCAGCTGACTCATATGTTTCATCCATATATTTCCATAAGGGAATAAACTCTTGCAATCGAATTGGGGTCTCAGGATCTAGATCATGGGTCATAGATCATCCAACTTTAACTTTGATTTAATGGGTAATTCCCTTTCAGCCCTTCATGCTCTTGGTAAGTTCCTGAAATTAATAGAAATTATTTGCCAGCAGTTGTTTTCACAATTTCAAGGTTTTCCTCTATTATTTTAATATAAAATTTGCCACAATTTTACTATTGACCTTAAATGGCGAACTGGATTGAAATGGTGGTCTTGGACCTCAACAATAAAAGAGGCCATGTGTTTGAGGCTTGGATTCGGTTGATACAAAATGAATGTGAAACATATATATCATATATGTAAAGTTTTCAGTAGATACTTGGGTCCTGATTAGGGTGTCTCTTCAGGCAGCGGTTGAATATAATTTGAAAGGAAGGAGCTTATCAGGGAACTTCTCCGCCAAGGGCATTTTAATTGATGTTTGTATTGGGGAGACGCTACAGATTGGACATGATTGGACAATTCACTTCTTAGTGAGGGAATTTGCTTCTTATTAGTACTATTAGGAACCTCTTCGGCGATCACATGTTGATTTACGTTCGTATGCCGATATTGTTGATTAACTTTGCATGGTTTTGGTCCAAGTGCTGCTTTCAGATTCCAGGTCCGGGTGTGCGTGGACATCTCCTGTATAACAAATGTCGCACTGTACTAATTACAGTTTTTTTCTTTACCTAGCTTTAACATGTTTTAACCCGTTTTTGACTATTTGGATGGATTTGAGCATTAATTAGGGGGCGGGGAAAGGGACTACTTAAATTAAACCCTTTTTCCATGAAGCTTTCAAAAAACATGGGTCCAGACCATGGTAATGGGTGGATATATTGCCCATCGCCAAATCCAAACGATTTTCTAGGGTTACCCAGGCAAGTTCCTCCCGATCACATGTGCCACCCATGGCCAATAGGTAGGTAGGGTCTAGGGCTCAGAAGTTTGCATTGAAGTCTCAGATTGGTTTGCCAAACAAATCTCTGCATGCGGACTTTGTGGACCTTTTTTCCGTTGCGGCCAATTATGGGGCATGAGATCTGCTGAAAAAAAATCGGCGGAAAATTGAGATCCTGTGACCCGAATCGATTGCAAAAAAAATGCGGGCTTTAGTTTTTTGGTTTTTCAGTGGAACTCCACTACACAAGTTGTGCACCTGACTTCTGCGGTTTTTTTTCGGCGGAACTTAGTATTCAGACCTATGGTTCGGCGGAACTCATCTTCTGGTTTTGTCTAGTGGGCTTCTGCTGATTCAATGGTTTTCCCTAGGATTCTGCTGAAAAAAATCGGCGGAACTCAACATCACAAAATGTGCGCCTGAGTTCTGCTGATCTTGGATTTTTTCGGCGGAAATCCATAAATCTGGTGATGCATGACTACCCATGATTCCCTGCTGCATTGTCATTTCCCAATGTGAAATTTAACCTGTGCCAGCCGCAATGGCAAATGATCTAGGATCCTGACTTTGAGGACCTTGGGGTTTTAAAATCGGTCTACCTTCGTCTAACCATGGAAATGGATTAACGCTTCTTGCTCGCGTGGGCATTTGGAATGTGAACCGTGTATGCTGGCTACATGAACAATGTATGCAGAACAGAACATATATAGCTATGTTCAAGATAAATCATTTAGAGATATCATTATTTATGTGGAACATAAAGTAAGTCGCTGCATGTTTAATTTTCGGCTTATTGTAGTGAACTATCTATATAACTTTACGTGGTTATAATTATGCATTGGTTTCATTCAAAATCCTTTAGTCAGTATAAAATAAAAAATATATATCTTCTGGCAATGGTTTTTGCCATTTTCAAGTTTTCCATCAGATATTTCAAACTGAGTCCTGGCTAATGTCATTATTGACCCTAGCTGGTAAGACCCGGCTACAAATACGGTTGCGGCTGCTTTTGAAGATTCCTTGACGGTGAAGCAGTCGTGTCCTCAGAACAGAACCCCAAGGGTTTGATTGTTGTGTTTAAAGCAGAAAGTCGGCGATCCAGGCGCAAGACTTGGCGCAAGGCTGATGTCATGGAAAAGAGTGCGGCTCTTAGGTGTTAATGCGATTCGTTCAACACATGCCCTGCTCAGTGTTGCATGCTGGTCCTTTATTTTCTTTGCGAGACCGTCTCATGGCCGTTTGGCCTTTTGCTGAACCTTTATGGTTGAGCTTGGAGGTGCGGCCCCTCGGATGTGAAGCATGTTCATGCATGTTGCCTGTCCTTGCAGGCCTTGAAGGAGAGCCCCACACCACCGAAGCCTAACCGTGCATGCCCGGCAGTAAAGATGACAGTAGAGGCCATGAACGTAGGGCATCTAAGAGATATTCCCGGGTGAGCTTGCCCTGGCAGGTGATGCGTGAGAAACTGCGGGCACGATGCTCAGGGGGGCAGGAACGAAGGGACGGAAGGTATTCTTGTAGGGTGTTTCGGCAGATCCGCTAGGCCTCCAGGCCTTCGAAAATGTCCATCGCAAATTTGACTGCTTGAAAAGCTCTGGGTGGACGTGCCGCGTCCTCAGGATATATGGACTTCATGTTTTTCAAATTTGTCAGAAACCATCGGTGGCCCAGGCTATATTGACCCAAGAACAAACAACTTTTGGTGGCATTGGGCTGATGATCTCTGGGCTTGGGAAGATGCCCTTTTTGACGAGGCGGGCGAAAAACATGACATAAGTTAGCACCTCATGGGAAACGCTGGCATTCCTTGCTCTTGTTGGATCGCAGGAACAATGACGCAGAGGCAGGCGGGTTGATCTTATTGGGCCCGCTTCATCGCGGATAGGCTCAAACTGACCGTCGATCTACATATTTTGCCTGGTGTTGTGTGGTTTTATGTTGCCTGAATGTTCCACGCTTCATTCCGGACGAAAGGCTGCTTTTGCCCACTAAATTTTCCCGACGTGCAGGACTGGTCTCCCATGGCGCTTGTGAGCCTGCGTGCACAGACCGTTGAAAAACATGTTTCACTGACAGCCAGCCTCAATGGCCGAGTTAGAAAAAAATGGGTTGGGAGAAGCACGATCAATCAGACATCGGTTTTTGAGTTCAATGGTATGCAGTTAGCCAGATGCGATGCATCATCAAGCAGCTGTCGGAGCAAAAGGCACCACGCAGGAAAATGTGAGTTCAGAACTTTTACTGATTGGATGTTTGTTTGCTGGAGTCAGAGGACGGATATAAAATTCAGAATGAGGAGTAAATTCACACTTAAGGACTAGGGGTGTTGCAAAACACAAACCTGGTGTTATCATGCCGTTTGGTGCTTGCATGAATGGTTGCACGGGTCTCTCACATTCCCATTAATTGCGAGAATTGCATTTGTGTGCGTGCAGCGGTGGTTATACGTTTCGATGCTGTATAAGCTCAATTAGTTGGACCCATTGTGCGCGGCACAAGCACCTACAGCAAAGAAGTACGCTGTAGATACAGCGTAGAGATGGCATCAAAGATAGGAGCAACCAGTGGCTATCAATCGCAAGCGCTCCCATGGAAGCCGTGAGCTCTTTCGAGGCCCATGGTGAAATAATAAAAGAGGCCATGTGCTTGAGGCTTTCAATTAGGTTGCTACAAAATGAATGTGAAACTGAATGTAAAGTTTTTTAGTATATAGGTACTTTGGTCCTGATTAGGGAGTCTCTTCGCCACCAAATTGTGTTTTACTTTGGTTGGATATAAACTGAAAAAAGGTGCTTATCAGGGAACTTCTTCGCCAAGGGCATATTAATTGATGTTTGTATTGGGGCAACGCTACAGATTGGACACGATTGGACAATTGACTTCTTAGTGAACGAATTTGCTTCTCATTAGTCTTATTAGGAACCTCTTCGGCGAGCACATGTTGATTTACGTTCGTATGTCGATATTGCTGATTAACTTTGCATGGTTTTGGCCCAAGTGCTGCTTTCAGATTCCAGGTCCGGGTGTGCGTGGACATCTCCTGTTTAACAAATATCGCACTTGTATTAATCAATAACATACAGTTTTATTCCCCAGGGAGTTCTAACTATGTGGAGCACTAGGATATGAAGAAATACATGGTTCAAGTCAGACCTAACAGTGATGTCCCCAAATCAAAGTCAGCTAACCCATAATCGACTGCAAAAACTAATCCCAACTGACCAGACATTTTTCAGGTTGAAACCAGCAACCAGCGACTGTCGCTTTGTCGAGGTTTGGATGTGTGGGACGCCTGGTCCTTCTTCAAGCTCTTGGATCTGGACGCCGGTGGCAGCGTCACTTGGTTCTACGTCGGATGCTGGGAGTTGTGAAACAATGGAGGTGTTCTGAAATATCTGAAATAGGGATACCTCAAATCATCCAAATTTGAGGTTAACCTGTTTAATATTGAACCCATTGTTTTCGGGGGTTCCCCATTTTAGGAAGCCTCCAAATAGGAATAGTTGCATAGCCATTGGCAGTTTAAGGTAGCGATGGAACGGCACCATCTTACCAGAGGATGATTGATGAGTTATATATCGCTGAGTTGGAGCCCTTTGAAGGTCCACAGGCCGAATTGAAGGTCAAGCAGATGTAATCTGAAGGTTTTCCATAGTTTCAATTGCATAAGACTGGGTTTTTATCCAAAAGGACTATGTTTAAAGCATCTCAAAGTTCCGCCATGGCCAAACATGCGTTGGAAGGCTATTAATGTACATGTTTGTCTTGAAAAACACAATGAAACTATTGCTGACAGTAAAGAAGAAGTGAGATGGCAGGATGCGTTTCAATCCCAGCCTTTCATCTCTTCTGCCAGCTGCAAAAATGATGGTTTCGTTGCACCCGGGAACAGGAAAGCATCGGCGCATGCGGAGTTGTGTAGCTTGATTGGGGTAAAGTTACCAACGTCTTGGAATATATAATATAATATAATATAAGATATATATATATATATAATATGTATATAATATTCTATGTGTATGAACATAAATATATTAGTTTATTTACTAATCAGCAGGGCTCAGGGCTACCCATCATCATCATCATCATCATCATCATCATCATCATCATCATCACACATCGAGCGTGGGTTGCAGCATGGTCTATGTCTACTACTACGCAACCAAGGTTGAAATCGAGGAATTCTTTAAAGGTTGTCTCAGGTGCCTGACGGGAGGGCGATGTGAAATGAGTTCGGACGACGTAACGTACAACTGTCATGTGCTGCTGCGAAACATACCTCTGCATCTATAGAATAATGGTTGGACACGTTCATGTATCTTAACCCCCTGCTCCCCCCCAATATTGACCACCCCCGTGAGATCGTGGTTTAGAAGGTTCACACAATGTTCACACATCTTGAGACCCATCTAGGGTGTGTTTAATATAGGGGGATGGGATTTACATATAGTCCATATTAGGTTGTGTTTTCTTAGCCGAGGCACTTGCTTCACCGTCAGGCACGCATTTCAGTTGTTGATCCCCATTGCGTTCCAATCATCTGGCACCGTGAACAAATTTGTTTTTGTCCATTGCTCACAGAACACATGGTGAGTTATGATTGCCAGTCATTAATATTTATCTAGTCCCTGCAAATTTCCCCAAACATTTGGGAATGGTACTAAATTTAAAAAAAAAACTGAAACACCATCTACTTAAGTACCCTATGAAGGCTATTTAAGGCTCTTTAAATCAGGTAAATATCTATCATCTATTATACCATTGTAGCGGCTACACCTTCGGAGGATCTCATTTGAACTCCCTGGAGGCTGCGAGGCCAGGCGCGAGGAGTTGATTTGGGGAAGTTGCTGCACGACCAGCGGTGGCTCATCAAAGCCCAAGGCCGTTTCCAGGCCTACGTGGAGGCCGTTTCCGGTGGTGGCCTGCGCTGATTGCTGTTTGTGTGGGGTGGGTTAGTTGAGGGGAAAAACAGGTTGTATATATATATATATATACATATTATACAGATATACATGGTTTGGGTCAAAATCGGGCCGATTAAATTTTGAAAAGAGTTGAAATTTGGTGTTTGTTTCTTCGCATCGTGTCAACTAAATTTGTATAATTGTTTTTTTGTTTCAGAGACAAGGAACCGAAACACTGGATAATGAGTTGGTTCTGGGGGTCTTCCCAGGGAAAAACATGTGGTGGAAACCTATGAATTAGTGCTTGCCCAGAAGTAGCTAAGAAATCAATAGAAATATCATGCTGTCATGCTTGAAATCAATGTTGAAGCGTTCACTGTTAGAGTTAGGGCAGTGTCACTAGATGGGGACTAAGGGTTTAGGACATGGGCGTAGTGACCATCCAGATCTGATGCTTTCGCCAGTAAAATGAGCCGTTCCCTTGGAGTTAATGGAACACTTTAGGCCTTCACGTTTGGGTAGTGACCAATACTAATCAATACTGAAATCTACTATACCTAGGTATGATGCACAAACAAATTGAGTCTTCATTTGCATGCTGCACAGAATATTTTTTCTCTTGTCCTCCCTCCTTGTCTTGCCGTTTTCACATGAAATCACCGTGCATTATTGGATTTCTTCTCACTCTTGCAGCTCACAGCCATTGATCTCATTGAATATCCTTTGATAAGAAGAAAAACTGGTACCTCAGGTCTGCAATTTGGGCAATATATCAATGGTTCTCTGTTTGCATCTCAGTCTCCATGACATCTGCCTGGAAACACCTGCAGCAGCTGCATTCTGCTTCGAAAAGAAAATGAATATTGTTACAACATGTTACAACAGCGCGTTCTGTTCTCTCAGAAAACAATGAAAAATGTGGCATCAGATTCCTGCATTTGCCGCAAGACATTTTCCCACTGACATGCCATCGCGTAGTTTGAATTGTGGTTTCACCCCTTCTTTTGGGTGCAAAACTGTAATTATTTTTACTTATGGGTATAGAGCCATTGGGATTTCACTTCCGTAAGTTGGGATATGTTGGCCCGATACAATGGCACTACGGTTGTACCGTTTGACCTTCCAACTACCATCCAAAAATGTAAAAGTACATACTTCTTATGAGGTAAAACATGTAAAACAGCATTGTAATGGCTACAAACGGATGGTCCAACGGTATCCACGGACGCCTTGCAGGCGAAGTTGGGAGAGATGTGCGAAGTCCTCGATCAGATGAATGGCTCCCACAAACTGGCGAAGACGGCAAAGTCCCTCGGCAGAAAGTATCTGTTGTCAGCGTTGTTTTTTTTTTCGAGTCCATCCGGGCAGAATAATAATAATCACATGCAATCATATATATATATGATTATAAATATCTAAAAGATTCTATACGTATTTACCAGAAAGTATAGTGTGTATAGACAAAAGTTGTATATATCTCTGTAAATCTATACATGTATTTGTCTACAACAATTCAGTGATTCTGGCCAGGTCCAATTTCATGCGTGGCGTCTCGCCGGTGAACATGGAAGAAAGGTGCCAGGGATAACTTCACGTTGCGACTTCAGAAGTTTTATAGTTGTTCATATATCCCAGATAAAGTTTTCAGATATAAATCCATTGGAGTATAAGAAACAAACTATAGACGCATATATTTTCAGATATAGTGTTTTTTTGACATATATCTATTGCAATATCATTTTTTCCGATATTTTTTTTGTCATTGTTTTGTCCATGTGTTTTTTATTTCCGGAATGCCAGATTTCTTTGTCAGATTTTTTGTCATGTAGTGGCAGTTGGCAGGGAGCACTCGAAGAACGTATTTTGTGATTAAGGAGGGAACATTCATAACCGCTACAAAGGATGGTTCCTGTTGTTTGCTTCTTTCCATCTGATTCAGATAATGCGTGTGAAGGACACAACCATGTTTTTCACATTGTTGATTAGATGTATAATATCATATACTGTAATAGCACAAATAAAGACTCCTCAGATTAACTAAGGCATTAGATTGCCAAACTGGTCATGTCTCAACCTCACGCAAGCTTAGAGTAGTTTGTAGACTGTGTTAGATGGGACAGACAAGTGGAGATGATCAAGGGATTGAAGTTTTCATACTCTCCCAAATTCAGGCAGACAAAACATGTTGGATCAGGTTTTTGAACATAGAGGCTGTTGAAACGCATACCTTACAGCATCGGACAAGGTCAATGTTCAGCTTCTGAAGGGTACAGAGCTGGCAACCATGTAGATCAGTACTTGGAGAATCATCATGCGGATAATTGGTTGATGATCCTTGTTCGTCCTTGAAGTGAGACTATTTGATTTACAAGTGATTTATATGGGGAATTCCAGCCCACAAACACTACGAAGCAGTTTCCAAGATCAAGAATTTTGCATATGCACTAACCCCTACAAACACGAACAATAGAAATCATCGTCGCATGTTGTGATCCTCCGTAGGTTTACGTCTGGCCCATGCCAGGTGTGCATAACCATGCGGTCTATCTCTCATCGTGTCGGAGCTCTGGCTGTGCTCGAGGATGGATGATCCGGGTGCCGATGAGTCATTGGAAATCCCAATGGAACAGTAACACATAGTAACACCACATGCCTTTGTCTGAACATGACATGTGAATACATGTGGTGATCAAAAAAAACATGTTTGATAGGCACCATTCTAATCTGGTTGGTGCTTTGGAACATTTTTTATTTTCCATATATCTGGGCAAATTATAACGACCTCACTGCGACCTCACTGGAATCATGGATAATAAGGGGAATCATCCCAAAATGGCCTTATTTCAGGTTAGTGAATTATTGTAATTTGCCCAGATATATTGGGAACAATAATCCCATTTGACTTTCACATTTTTCAGAGGAGTAGGCTCAACCACCCAGAAATATCCAGCCATGGGATAGCACCGATCAGTTGAGACATGAAATTCATACCCAATGGTTGATTGGTTATAGGGACTGCTACTTGGGGTATTGACTATTATTACAAGCCGTAGTAGGAAAACCTATCAATCAACTAGTGTGTATATATATATATAATTGTGTATATATATAATGAGATTGTATAGGGTTATTTTTAATATCTCGATTGGTAATCAGAGTCTTATTGGGGTTTACGAATGTTTATTTTTGAATTTGAGAAATGTGTTAGCTTTATTTAGGTGAGGTTTCTACTGAGAGGTCGGCATTACTCGAATTTTAATGATGATCCATACCGAATAGTTTGCAGGGAATATAATACGATGGCAGGTGGATGATGTGCCTGAACATGGCCACAATGGCTTTGGGCAAACTCCAGGTTTTCCATTGATTTTGCTGTTGTTTGGCCAAAGCTGTGAAGAAACCAAAACTCCAAAGTGGACGAATTTTTATCCACAACTTGGTTTGGTTTAGAGGCGTGTTTGATTATGACCTATTTGTAGGATCAAATCTGGCTACCATTGAATTTACCTTCCAAAGATGGACGACCTCTGTAGGCTCTTGGACGTCAGCATTCTAGCTGAAAGCCACTGTTTGAGAGTGGAACATTTTGACCCACGGCTATGCCATCACCATTGTTCCATATATTTGTGAATGTGTATATTCACAAATATATAAGACATAGAATACTTCAGGAGGAACAAAGTTTATGCTTCTTGAAAGCTTTACAAGACATCCATGTCGGTCAACCGCGGATGGCATTTTCAAGTCCGTTTTGTGTGGCAGGTGTGGGACGGTCAATTATCACCCTCTTTTAAATATATAAGATTTTAAAGCTTTTGGAGGGTGGAAATGCGACCGGGGTACGACAAAGCTCCATGCTAGGATTCTACGGGGAAAGGGTGTGCAGAAGAAGAAGCCAAACATGTTCACTGTGGGAAGCTCAACAAGCGCAACTTTTGTCCTACCAGTGCGTCACGGCACATGTGTAGCAGTGCAGACAAAGAGGATGGAGACAGACATGTTATGTGGAGTAATGTCCAAGCTGAAGCAGGTGCAAAAATCAGCAAATGACGTGGCAATTCCCACTAAATAAGCTTTTTGTACCCTGCGTCGCAGCACATGTGTAGCAGTGCAGACAAAGAGGATGGAGACAGACATGTTATGTGGAGTAATGACCAAGCTGAAGCAGGTGCAGAAGTCAGCAAATGACGTGGCAATTCCCACTAAATAAGCTTTTCGTACCCTGCGTCACGGCACATGTGTAGCAGTGCAGACAAAGAGGATGGAGACAGACATGTTATGTGGAGTAATGTCCAAGCTGAAGCAGGTGCAAAAATCAGCAAATGACGTGGCAATTCCCACTAAATAAGCTTTTTGTACCCTGCGTCACGGCACATGTGTAGCAGTGCAGACAAAGAGGATGGAGACAGACATGTTATGTGGAGTAATGACCAAGCTGAAGCAGGTGCAGAAGTCAGCAAATGACGTGGCAATTCCCACTAAATAAGCTTTTCGTACCCTTCAGGAGGAACAAAGTTTATGCTTCTTGAAAGCTTTACAAGACATCCATGTCGGTCAACCGCGGATCGCATTTTCAAGTCCGTTTTGTGTGGCAGGTGTGGGACGGTCAATTATCACCCTCTTTTAAATATATAAGATTTTAAAGCTTTTGGAGGGTGGAAATGCGACCGGGGTACGACAAAGCTCCATGCTAGGATTCTACGGGGAAAGGGTGCGCAGAAGAAGAAGCCAAACATGTTCACTGTGGGAAGCTCAACAAGCGCAACTTTTGTCCTACCAGTGTATGTGTAATACACATATTTATACACTAACATTTGGAGCATATAGATGTCCCGATCATCCGCAAGAATCGCAACACGAGCCTGCTCAAAGTGGCATGTGGTTTTCCAGCAACACGTGCCTGATAGGCGTTTTGTTTGGATGCTGAAGTTGTTTTTAGTCAGCTTTGGCTCTGCTTATGCAAAGAATCAGGTCGGTGTAGAGCTCAACCCTTCAAAAAAAGAGGAGGGGCCTAATAGGCCTAATCTACTAATATCTACTAATCTTATGTTGATTGAAACCAGCAACTAGAATCGAACATTGACAAGCAAAATAGTCTAGCGCGGAAGATCACTAAAAAAAGTGGTTACTTCAAGAGTTAAATGCGTTCAATTCGACACAGAGTGGGGCCCCCAAACGAAAACTAAGTTGGTTTTTACCTCCAACTAGGGATTATTGTAATGATGTATCGAACTACAGTGATTGAGGTTTTATATAATCCAACAAACACAACTGGGGGGCCGAGGCGGTCCACCTTCCAACAAATTGCAACGAGGCGACGTTGTAGCTATTGACACAGCGACAACGTCCAGGCTGTAAATAAAGCTCAGTTTGGCCAAGAGATTCTTCAAACACATGGAGGTTTCCTACGTCATGGGCGACCCCCAGTTATCATCCATTTGTTATTAGGATTTTCCATGAAAGAAACCATTTGTTTTGTGGGTACTATTTCATTTATGGAAACCCCCATTTATGGAACCCCCCGTTTATGGAAACCCACATTTATGGAAACTCCCATGTATGGAAACCACCATATGATTCTTGCATCCGATGTTTTGAAATGGGCGAATACATGAATATGCTACAAGCGCAGTGATGTATTAGTGTATTCACCACCGTAGTCCATCAGCAAACAGAAACCGACCACTTTGACTGCAGAGGGCAGTTGTCTCAGCCGAACCTTTTGCGGCAGCTGATGGAACCGGCATTTCATCCGTGCAGGGACTCCCTGAACTACACTTCTGGGTAGTTTGTGTTAGTGTGGGGTTCACAAGAATGATTTGATTTTCTAAAGATAAGACCATAACATATTATAAGCCATAAAAGGGTGCCAAAATCATTCCAATTTTTGGTTATGACGGTTATACCCGACCGATCCTCAACAGCACTTTCTGGCTGGTGACTATTAATTCTTCTGGATCCCACATGAACAGCAAGTGAAGAAAGGCTGAAGGTTGGTTCTGTCAAGCTGCGCCACATATCAAGAAGCTTCATCAGTGGTCAAATGGGACCGCTACTTGCCCGAAATTTTAAGTTGAAGGGTGACCGAAGCTCGACTTTCAAAATCTTCTGTCGCGTGACAGGCAGTAAATGCCCCCTGCTCTCAGAGATACTTGGGAGAAGGTTGCGGCAATCTTAGGGTGGAAAATGGTGCTGAATCACCTAATTTAAGAGGTATCCCATTCTCAGACAAACCCTTGGTGTTTCTCTTGAAGCCAACCGATGAATGTCGAAGACTAGACGAGTTGCCAGGTGCTTTTGAAACTCGCACATTTCCCCATTCGAACGACCACCAGTAACTAGTGGAGCAGTTTCTCACTTAAAGTGACCTGCAGACGTTGGTGGAGCCGGCCAGGCAAAAATGTTGGGCGCTGCCAGAAACATCAGTGATGTGGATACAACATCGTGTCCTCCAGTAATTGTTCAGTTCCTGTAGCAGAAATCACCGCTTGTAAAGCTTTTCTTTACCCGATAAATCATAGAGCTATGAGCTAAATGGACCATCTATTCCATAGCAAGGGGGTGGTCCTCCAAGTCGCCTGTGAACTTCAATGATCTGTTTGACCCGATTTTGACCCTAGATTTGTAGCCATAAAAAAGGGTGTTTGACATTGAGTTTTATTCCATAATGGCCCATACTCATCCATAATTTTATGATTTTTATCATTGTTTCGAGGGTACTCGTATGTGGAAATTGGAGGGTCTAGATCCCAGAAACATGGGAGTTTGTAAAACCCCGCGCCTATTCGTTTAGTCTTCCATGATCCCCGATGAGCCATTTTTAGTTTTTGCACTCGAAAAAAACAACGAAAATGAAGAGGAAGAAAACGATAACGTTGGTTATATATATGTTAATGATCTGTGTCCATACTCTTGAAATCCAATGTTCTTGATTTTTCCATCGTTCTGCAGCTTTTTAGTGCTTTTGGTCTCTTCCTTTCACTGTTTGTTGTCGTAATGGCACGCTAACGAATTCGTGTCAGATTCCGCACAAGGAAGGTGCCTGGTAGGTGGTCGCTACATTCTTTTGTTTTATGATTGCAGCCATTTCCAGAAAAAAAGGCACGTACGCAAAATTCACGAACGATAACAAAACGATAACGAACACGATAACTTTTGGCATCAAACATGGTCCGTGTGAGGCACGGTCTTTTCTTCCTTTTCCTCTCCCTTTCCTCTCCCTTTTCTTTCCTTTTTCCTGTCCTTTTTCTTTGTTTTTTCCTTGTCCTTTCCTTTTCCTTTTCTTTTCCTTTTGTTTTCCTTTCCCTTTCCTTTTCCTTTCCTTTTCCTTTCCTTTTCCTTTTCCTTTCCCTTTCCTTTTCCTCTCCCTTTCCTATTGGTTCCTTTCCCTTCCTTTTCTCTTCCTAGTCCTTTTCCCTTTCCTCCCTCATGTGAATTCTTTGATCAAGGTGCGAAGCCAGCACTTGGAAAATTAAACGATCAGAGAAAAAAACGATAACGTGTGAAAAAAAAAACATGTGAAAGGGCTCGGGGTTTTTACAAAGCCCCGACATGTTTTTTTTTGGGTGAGAGAACCATCAAGATGCTGGTCCATGCTGTCTAGGTGAGACCAAGCCTTTTATTGAACCATGCGCTCGATTTGTGGTCGATTTTCTTT